TATAAAATTTTCCTCACAAGTGGATAAGGACAAGTGCTCTGAAATTATCAGGGAAATATTTAAATAACCCCTCTCTGAAGCTTTTTCACATCAGGAACAATATAAACACAAATATAAATTAAGTAGAATTTTTTTTTCAGTATGGGAGTATGGTAATTGTAGAAATGGAAAAAAAATCTAAGTTTTTAGTGAAACTTGGGGAAAATAAAGTGTCACTGAAAACTTTTAAGACACCACTAGAACAATATTACTCTTTATGCAGACAAAAAGAAATGATACTCTGGTATCTAATCAGCATGAACAAGGCCAAACGAAACAAGACACATCTCAGATTTCCGCTTCATATAGATGCTCATATCCATGCTTGTGTTCTCATGGGAATCATAAGGCCTTCGACAACAAGCCAGTTGCATATTTTAGCATGTGCCCCACAAAGAATTAGCATCAAGCCTTGTTTGTAAGATAAACAATATATAGTAGATTGAATCTTGAGTCATATGAACTGAGGTCTTACAAAAAACAGAGTTCTGGTTTAATTTGAATGACATCTTGCTTCTATAAGGACAAATTATATAGCCTATATGTTTCACATTGCATAACTCTGAGGAAAAAAATTGTGAAGCACATTATTACATGATTAAAATAAATGATCCATCTAGAAATACACTATAAAGCCTTTATGATATTTTGATTTCTTGAAATTAATGTTTGCCTGATTTTTTTAAACTAAATATGAACACACAAGACATTCAAAAGGAATGGAAATTTATAATTATGAATGTGGATATTATTGGAACAATATACAGAAAAATGAAGTTAACTCAACACAGAGATATGAAAAATATTGTAGGTAGTAGGTAGGTAGGTAAACAGATCAACAGATATGCAAATGGATGAATAGAAAGCAGAATCATGTGGACAAAGAGAACGAGAGAGACTAAATAATCTGGAAGTATAAAAATGTTTGATAAATATTACCTATTTAGAATCCCATTTGGTTAAAGAAATCAACAATAAATACATTTCCACTAGGCCCTACAAACCCCATGTTCATGCTCTTAGATTCTTTGTCTTCCCACTTAATGACTGTTGATAACTAGGCAGATGATTTGAATAAAATAAATTATGCCCCTTTAAGAAGAAGAAAAGTTATCTGAATAAAACTAAAGAAAAACTCTTTGTCTAATATGCCCAAAGAGATTTCCTAACAAAAAAAGTAATTTCATTCATATACATAAACATAGTAGTAAGAATGTTATGTTTTCATTTATGTATGTGATGAATATTTTGCATTAAAATATAAATTTTAATCACAGGACAAGTATTTATTTCATGATTGCCAAGCTAAGCTATGCAACATCCTATCACCTGGTTAAATAATCATAAAATAAATATGTGCCTTTTAATTAAAAAGAAAAAGATTCAACACTTCAGGGCCTACAGATGGTTTCTCTACCAATAAATAGTACTTTAGTCATATCAGATTATTATTTCCAGAAGTGTTAACAATTAAAGTGTTATTATATAATAATATGTACAAACTCAATAGTGAAAAATAAATTTCAGAGACACTGGTAATTTGTCCTAATCTTTTAAAAGGGAAATACAAGTAACACTTTGACACTTTTTATATTTTATAAAGGAGGAGATCTGAAGTCTAAAATTAGTCTTGTTCTGTCATTTCAAAGGATTGAAAAATATATTATGTTCATGGCCTTCACATGTCACTGCTTCAAAATATAGAATAATTTAGAGTTAAAGCAGGTCCCTCCTATATTATTTTATTTGTTTAAAGACTGTGGGGAGAGGAGCCAAAGCAGTTTTTTCCCTATCCAATTAATATGCATAAAGAGTGCACTCCAATGTTGGAACATTGTCTATTAGTTAAAATGAAAGGATTGAGTATTTAAAGAATGTAGCTTTGACTGTCTCTGCCAGTTAAAAGAGACCAAGGAATAGTGTCCATGTGGAATTTCAGCACTTTGGTGAAATGAAGAGTGCCTCTTGTGAGTTCATTATTGTCATGTATTAAGTCAAAAATATTATCTCCACATCATTACATTGTACAATGTATAAAACTTTGTACATGCTATCAATGATTAAAACAGAAAATAATGCTTCTAGTCCAACATCTGTAGATGGCTGGCATCTTATCAGTCACTTTTGTGAAGCCAAACACAATCTCTAGTTCAGCCTAATATCAAGTAAATTACCAGAGAAGAGTTTATAGAGCCATTAAATGGGGAATAGGAAAACAGGCCAATTGGGTTCAGCACTGATCCCTGCATTAATTCATTTGCTTTATGAATTACCTAACTACGGAATGTAAATGTATGCTGATTCAGTGTGGAAATGAAGGCACCTTGTGATTTCAAATGTTAGCTTATATTAAATCAGTGAATTATTTAAACAAATGAGTCAGGTGTCAAAATAAGCTACTGAAGAATGCCAGATGGCCCTACTCATCTTCTTCTAGTTAATGCCTGTCAGTAACAAGAAAGATGATTTGAATAAAATAAATTGTGTCCCTTAAATAGGAAACTTATCCAATATGAAAAATGAAGATGGATTTAGTGTTTATTGTGCCCAAACAGATTTTCTGGCAAAGAAAAATAATCTCATTCATGTACATAACCACTCTGGTGAGAGTGGCATATGTTCTTATTTGAATATGTTCACATTCAAATATTTTAATCATTAACACCAAATATTCAAATATATAAAAGAGTTTTTTCTTATATTTCTTAATAAAAATTGTAATAGATGAACTGAAAATCATGATAATTTTCTAAAAATCTGAGGTCCTTTGCTTCAACATACCTCAATGATAAGAATGCAGTCAGTAACAAAATTCAAAGCAATAAAAATCATTATTGACATAGTAAAATACTTCAGACTCTGATACCATCTTGGGTTTTCAGGAGAATTAAAGTGGTATTTCCCTGGAGTGTTGAACAAGTCTGAGTCCAATTGTACTTCCAGCTCAGAATTAAGTTTATTCCGACTGAGTGAGTGTCCTGTTCTATCTCTAGAGATGGCATGTCAGCACAATGTAGTATAAAGACTCATGGCCAGGACCAAGTGGGACATGGCTTCGAGTGTCACTCTGCAGAAAAGCTGTGTATCCCTGGGTAAGAACTCAAATATTCAAGATGTTTTATGATAAGAAAATATTATTTGATCATTTTGTTATGAATAAGTCATAATTAATCTTATATTAATTTAATTTACTGATTAATATGAAAATACTGTTTTATAAACAAAGAATACACAAATTGCTATGAAGACATTTTACAATCTCCAGTGAAGCACAAGGCCAGAGAGCTGAAAGACATCTACTGTACTCATTATGGGTTGATTAAATGTAATGAAGATATCAGTTCTTCAAAGAATAAACAAAGAAATCCCAATCAAATATAAATGGTTTTTCCTCTTTGGGGACTTCATTTTTCCAGCATTTGTATTAAAGCTTATGTAGCCAGTGATGGCTGAGTCATTTTGGAGAAGAAGCTACTCCTGATCAGTTATTCCTGGATTATTGGAGAAGAAGAGGAAATTCAAAAATAGAAGTATGCATGAAGAGAAATTGTGTCATGGTAAAGATGGCGGTGATGGTACATGGTTCTGGGAAACTGGTTAACTCTGTATAAAAAAGAAATACTGACTCCCTAGCTAATACAAATACCTAAAAAAATTAAGAACTATATGTAAGCAGTGAAATAAACAAGTTAAGAAAAAAATTCAGATCAATATTATGATGCATTAGGTTAAGAAGAGGGTTTTTGATAGGATGCCAAAACCCAAAATAGGACTCAGAGCAGTGACACATGCCTGTAATCCCAGCAATTTGGAAGAATAGGCAGGAGAATTGAGGCAATTCAACAAGGTCCTGTCTCACAATAAAACTAAAAAGGGCTGAGAATTTGGCTTAGTGGTTAAGTGTCCCTGGGTTCAATCCCCAGTATTAAAAATATAAAACAAAAACATTGATTATCTTGATGACCTTAATGATATTATAGTTGTTATATAATGAAAGATATCAAATGTAAAAAAATAACTGATGAAAGTTTTTGAGATGATAGTTAAGATGCTAAAATTAATAAGTAATTAATGTTCAAAGCCTATCAGAAACTCTTGAAAACGAATGATCAAATTCTTTAATGAGAAAAAGGCATACAATTACAAAAGAACATGACTCTACTTTTCACAGAAGAGATAGCTAAAACCATTGTTCAACATCATTGGTACATTAAATGAATAATTATAAAATTAAATTAAATTTAAACAAAGCAATTGAGTTAAATGAATTTAAATACAACATAACTAAGATACATGTGTGTGCCTATTAGAATGGTGGTGAAAAGTAAGAACAACAGTCAATTACAAGAATTGTTGAGATGAGCAAAAGCAGCCAGTAATGTGGCCTACTGCTGGAGAAACTGGAAGTTCCCCTGGAAAAGATTTCACATTTACAGTAGTCAGTAGTTGCAGTTAATGAAATTATAACCAATTTCACTGTATCATATAATTTGAGCTTTATCGTAGCATAATTCAAGTATAACTTAGTGATTAAAGTTATTTTTGAAGTCATCTCAGATGACTCTCTATGTATCCACGTACTGCTACTCTGCAATCTACTGAATCTCTTCTGTGTCCCCATTTCATATCTTGAAATTTCAGGATAGGATAGGAATAGCATTTGCCTTAACAACAACAACAACAACAACAACAACAAAGGCTTACAAAATAAACTAGTAGTTGGAAAAAAAAATTGTAGCACATATAAGCAAAAAAGAAAATATGAGCTAGGAAACGGACAGGCATGTGCACCAGGGAATTTGCAGAGCAAGGTGTTAGAGCATCCTTGGTACCCACCAGTAAGCAATGCAAAAACAATGTGACTGGTGTACAGTACAGAATATTAAGTCAATGACTTACATTTTTTCAAGTGAATTTATTTGAAGAAAAAAAAAAAACTAATGTCAGACTTTCTGTTCTAGTTCAGACATGTAGAAACCTCAGAAGTTATCACTTTCATCTCTACAAGAAGAAATTGAAGACACTGAACATCACTAAGATGAGAGCATAGATGCCACAAAATGAGATTTCACCCCAATATCTGGAGAGTGGAGAAGGTACTGAGAGTCCCAGGGTCCCAGGAATAGAAGCTCTCTAATGGAACCAGAGATAGCAGTATTATTCACAATAGTGCTGCATAGAGAACTCTAAAAACTCAACAGGAAAAAAAAAAGATTCAAGTAAAAAGCAAACTAAGAATCCTAAATCATGGCTCACCAAGAAGCTATAGAAAGGCAAGATGTGAAATATGCCTAACATCATATGTCATTAGAGAACTACAAAGTAAAAGAATGAGAATACCATTAAATACCTGTACAATGGCCAGAATCTAAAAGACACTGATAACTGATACCACCAAAGACTCATGAGAATTTGGAACAAGACCCTCATTCACTGCTGGTGTGGATAACACTGAAAATGTTTTGACATTTTTTTTTTTACAAAACAAAACCTACCCTCATTACTCAATGCCACATAAAAACACTTCTTTATATGTACTCAAATGGCTAGGAATCGTAGGTCCACACAGAAGTTTATTCACAAGGTCAAAACTTGGAGACACACAGATGTCCTTTTATGAATGGATAAATGAATTGTGGTACATTCATAAAATCGAAAGCTATTCAGCCACAAAAAAAAAGAAATAAAGTATCGATCTTGTAAAACACTTGAAGGGAATTAAATGCATACTGCTAACTGAAAGAAGCCAGTCTGGAATGCCTATAAACAATAATATTCCAATCATATGGTAATTTCAAAAAGACAACATTATAAGACCATAAAAAGTCTGTGGGTTCTCAGTTTGGAGGAATAAGAGGGAAGAATAAATTGGTAGAACACATGGAATCTTTTGAGTTGTGGAAACTACTCTGTTTGATATTATGATGGTGACCCCTGATACTGTGCTCTTATTAAAATCAATAGTACTGTACAATGCTGAGTCAATCTCAATTTAAACTATAGATTTTACTTAATAATAATGCACTAATACTGGTTTATTAGTCATAATAAATGTTTTTCTCTGTTGCAAGTTATTAGGGTAATCTGAGGGTAGAGGCTGATATGTGTGAGCTCTAGGTATGTTCTGCACCATTTATGTGTAATACCACTTTAAAATAAAATTTTATTAATTAAAACTATCAAGAGAGAAGCACACATTATATAACTATATGTAATAATGAGGACTAAATGAAGAAAATAAAGATATGTACAAAAATAAAGATACATACATTATAAGGACATACACATCAAACTAATTAGAATGGATAAGAGAGGAAATAAGAGTCAATGATGAGAAGGAAAACAGTGAGACAAGGATTGGTGATTAAATATAATGTGTTATTAATATAAGGGGCATATTAATAACATTTCTTTTTTATTCTTATTTTTTATTTACATATGACAGTGGAATGCATTACAATTCATATTACACATATAGAGCACACATTTTTCATATCTCTGGTTGTATACAAAGAATATTCACACCACTTTTCTCTGCCTAAGGATTCACAAAGACAAAAACTCCTAAGAATTACTTCTGCACTCTCAATATTGACAACCTGACCATCCATTGTAATAAAAGAAAGTTAGCTCTTGTTTGGAAAGTTTATAATGGATAAATAACAAGGGAAAAGGAAGAGGAAGGCAGGTAGGAAGGAAACAGGACCGGGTCTCCTGTTTCCAAAGAAGGACTTAATTTTGGTAACATTGTTAAGCTGCTAAGAGCCCTGGATGACACAGCATTGCAGCTTGTCAGGATGCCTGTACTCCCTTTAAATCACTTTGGTACTTATAGTATGGCACAGGCACGTGTCAATTATCTCACCTTGAGTTTCAGTAAGCCAGTTGCAGTAATCAAAAATGAATAATGCAGGGACACTGAGTGGTCATGGAAGAATTACCTTCTGGGACGGTCATCTAGTTTTGCATAGGGCAAGTCATACATAAAGAGGTGTCTGATGCCAGCTTCTCTGAAATCCTTGTCTTGATCAACAAGTGACAAACAAGTTAACATTATATGATAAGAATGACTTCTTAATTATTATGATGAACTGTGATAAGCTCTTTTCAGCGAACTTCAGAGCTCTTTTTTGGATGCTCAGCACATGTGCACAAGTTGAAACAGTTTGGAGGCTTTGCCCACCTTTAAGGAACCATGTGTAAATATTCCACAATCTCAACGTTATCACTGGAGGCTCCATCCTATAATGTCCAGCACAGGGATATTGTGCTGCATCCTGGAATTGGGTTTCATTTGTGATAGATGCTGCTTATAGAAGAAAACAGGATCCTGCCTCTGCAATGTCAGTCTGCCTCACGAAGGTGTGACCATATCACCTAAAAGGAGAAAGGGCTAACAACATTTTATTGGACAATACAGGTTTATAAACTGCTATGAGCCATGTTTGCTTACAGATATTTAATAAATACTAGCATGGGTGCCAGAATTTGACCAGAGACTTTACTCATGATAACCTCATGGCAGCTGTAAAGGAGTGTAAAACTGTCAGGACACAAGTGTAATAAAGCACCCCGGAACAACAAGTATAATGTGAATTTATATTTCCTTGGATTTAGCCACAAGAACACTTGAGTGATTTGGTAAAAGAGGTTTCAGAATTGTGAGGAATTGAAACAGAAGATAAGACAGTGCAACAGTAAAATGTTAACTCTCTGAGCGAGTGTGATACAAGGAGGAGGTTTGCCCAAATGCTTTGCCTGAGATACCGAGCAACCTGGCAGAGGGGAGCTCCCCCAGTGAGAGAGGTCACATCCAGGCCACAACCAATTCAGCTTCCCAGGGAAGTCAGGGTTCCCTCGCTCAGGCATGAGAAGCCCCATGTGCCCTGAAGGACTTGGGGTTCAGAGCAGCTGGCATTCCACACTGTGCCTGGTAATACCGGGCACATACTTCTACACTGTCAGATGTGAAACAGTGCGTCTCTATACTGACAAGGTGCTTCCTACTTTGTGATAAAGGTGAAAGTGACCCACATACCCCTCAGTCTGAATCAGGGCAGAATGAGGGACCCAGGCTCTGTCTTTTCTTGTGAACCTTCACCATGTGTAGATCTGCTTTTAATATAAAAGTGATCCTTTATCTCACATCAGGTAGTGGAGTTTAATGTTCAGCAGGTGACAGGGAATGGGTATGAGAGTACTATGTGAGTAATGTAAGATGGAAATTGAGTCATAGGGGGTTTCATTGTTGGCAATAGCCCATGACTTATTTTATAGGCTAAAACAGCAAACATATTTGGATGTTAATGGAAAGTAGTCAAGAAAATAGAAAATGTTGAAGAACATAAAAGCTGCTGAATAATCAATAGAAAACAAGAAAGAAAGAAAGAGGCCACACTATCTAGGACACAAACAGGAAATGACATAGACAGGTGGACAACTCTCCTACAAATCAAAGGTAGAGCCAGCTGCCAAAGCTGGTGGTTTGCTGTGTCAAGAGAAGAGTTTAAGGAAGACCCCTTTCATGTTCAGTTCTCCTAATACCTCAGTCAGTTTCTAATGTTCTCTTTGGTAGGCCAGAATAAGTTATGTGTTTTTCTCAACCTAATTTTTATGGTCAAGGAATGTGCCACTTAGCCTTTGCTCTGAGTCTGACTTGTGGATCTATACCTAAGCCAATCTCTCTGCAAGAAGAATGGAAACACACTTGTAACAGCAGGGCAATGCTAGCTGCTGTAACAAGCAAAGTGCTCAGAAAAAAAAGGGGGGGGGGATTTCTGGCTACAAGAAATCCAAGTCTTTGTTTATTGTCAGGTCTCTCTCCCATGAGTGACAATTCAGGAATTTTAGCTGTCTTAATCCCTTTGTGCTTCTTTTACAAAATATTACATGTTGTGTAATTTATAAAGATTGCTAATCTACTTTTTACAGTTCTTGAGGCTGCAAAGTCCCCAATTGAGGCACTGGTATTTAGGGTCTATTGAGAGTCTCATCACCAATTCTCACATAGCAGAAGAGATGGAAGAACAATGAAAAAGGAAAAGATGCAGTTTCCTCAAATGGCAGAAGAGAGGAAAACACTCAAGCCCTTTTATCAGCTCCTGCTACCATTGATGAGGGTTCTGTCTTTAGGACTTAGTCACCTCCTACGGGCTCCATCACTGACTAGTCTCCTTCAGGCCACTGAGTTTCATCAGCCCATGGTTTGGAGGGACACAATCGGACCACAGCAAGCTCTGTGTGTCTGTGGCTTCACAGTCATCCATGAAAATGTGCACGGTTGCATTGCACATGGGATTCAAACCGGTGGAAAGAGAAAGTGCAGCAAGTTCCAGCCTTATTAACTACATTGTCAAGAAAAGGCATGTTCACTTGTGCCTACCTTGTGTGGAGGTGAACCGGGCTCATGGTCTTTCCTAGATGTGGGATTGTTTTGACTGCAGTCCCTGGAGGGACAGATCCTTCTGTCACCACTTGCGTTCTGTGGGGTGTGAAGGGGAGAGGGTTACAGACAGCCATTTTCACAGCATGCAGTAGCATAACTCTAGACTATAGTTTGAACTGGTACTGGGTCCAAGGTCACCAAAAGGACATCAGTACCACAAGGTGGTGGTGGATAAAATGAATGTGAGAAAATTAACACACGAAGTTTCCTATGTCCTTTTATGTTTTTCCATAGAACTATTTTGAAGAACATACTAATGAAAGGGGAAGGCCAGAGTTGATGAGGAAAAACAAAACAACAATCACACAAAAAAAAACTTTAAAAATATGTGACCTTATTTTTGTCATAGTTATATTATTATTTACCACAGTTTTTAAAGAAGCAGAGGTATTTCCAGATTCAAAGATATATCTCTGAAAATGAAAAATAGTATTAAAGCACAGTTTATTAAAACCTTGCTATTTCAAAAAAAAAAAATTGTCCTAGATATAATCTGGAAAAGTGGAGGGAAATCTTTGTCTTTGTCGATGAATAGAGTTTTTCTTTATAAACTTCAGGTGAATTGGGGGCTAACAAATATTCATGAAAAAAATATATAAAAGTATTCAAATGACATAGTATAAGCATACCTTTATAAATTAAATATTGAGTTAAGATGAGGGTGTATATAGGAATCATATCATAGTAATCAAGGAATGGTTTTCAGAAAAGAAAAATAAAAGAATCCGTTACTGGAGAGGAGTTTTGAGGGAAGGAATGATGAAACATTTTAAGCAAGAATAAATTTGATGATCTGGGATAAATAAACTTATTATCTAGGGTAAAAATGAGCGTCATTTTTAAGATTATTAAATTTTACATGAAATGTGAATATAGTGAATTAAAAACAGTATTAAAGCACAATTTATTAAAACCTTGCTATTTCAAAAAAAAGTTGTCCTTGATATAATCTGGAAAAGTGGAGGGATATAAAATTAGAATATTTCTGATATTAAGAATCAAAATAATCACTATCATAGACTTACTATATGTGAACTACATTTAAACAATAAATAAGACAATTTTAATGTCACTAGCAGCAGAAGGAATAATATAAGTCTTTTTAGAATCAAATAGTATTAATAGAAGACTATGCAGTTGATCAGAATGTAATGTTTGGTTTTTATGAATAAATCAAGCAAATTAACCAAATTCTCTGTGTCTTTTGTTATAGAATACACACACACACCAAAAATATGCTTATATTTTGAAATATTATTAGGATGACACTTCTGAAAATCACACATGAAAACTGACCACATCAATGTGAAATTTCCTTACAGGAAACTGTGCCTACTACCACCTACCGCATATACATGTTATCAATCATTAATTATTTAAAAGCTACACTCAAAGCAAAATGAAATTTAAGAATTCAGATACAATTAACATAAATTAAATTTTAATATACTGTTATTTTTTAGGTTGTTCAAATTATCACTTCCCTTATGCTAGTTCCTTGGGACCACAAAAATTTTGATTTTAATACCATTTTTTACTCTGTATATTTTTCAAATGAATTTGACTCAGATAAGAGTAGAAAGTTAATTATGCCAGTTTATATCAGTTTGTAGTTAATGAAACTATGAATTCCAGTTTCACTTTTACTTTATGGATTTAAAAAATAAGCATTCAGATAACATCATATAGAGCCCTAGGATTACTGTTGATGTTTTTTGAAGGTTCTGCTCTATTGTGCCTTTAAGTGGAAGAATTCTTAAGTTTTCTGTCTCTTAGCATAATTACACACACATACACACAAACACACACATTTATCTGAAGAAAACAGTCATGAATGATGTACTTTGGGTTCTGTGACAATGCTGGATTTATGATTAGTTTAGCATGTTTTGAATGCATTTGTTAAAGAACATATTTATACCTGTATTAAAGGATTCTAAGGAATCTGCATAATGTAAGATAATATCCAAACTTTGGCCATGTTTGGGTCCTTTGAAGGACTCTACATAGGTTTAATCATACAGATTTGTTATACCTAATGTCTGGAGGGTAGATTTGTTCTGATTGGCCAATATGCATGCATTCTGATTGTTAAATGTTAAAAAATCATCCTTGAAACAGCTCATTGCAGAACATTTCATCCACTGACTTTATGTCAGAAATATTCAAGTTTCATTGAATTCAAATAAATAAATATATACAGAACACAATCTCCAAATTATGATGGTTCAAAGCACAAACTTTCCTTCTCTTTTATTTCAGTGTTCAATAAATCGCATGATATATTCAACACTTTATTATAAAATAGGCTTAGTGTTAAACAATTTTGCCAAACTTCAAGGTCCTGTAAACATTGTGAGCATATTTAAGGTAGGCCAGGCCAAGTTATGATGTTCAGTACGTTAGATATATTAAATGCATTTTTTATTTACATTGTTTTCAACTTATAAAAGGATTGTTAGGACATAGATCACAAAAATATTGTATTTATTTGTTTGAATATATATACTTGCAAATATGAACACATACATACACACATATGGAACCTACAATAAGTATTGCCTCATGAGCTATCTTTAATATATTTTCTTTCTAATTTGTACAAGAGGATATGAATATATTTATACATTGATTCTGAAGTAATAAAAACATTTCAAAAATCACATTATTCTGTTTCACATAATTCTTCTGCATAAATGCCAAAATATGCTTTCAGAAAAAAGCAGAGTGGCTTAAAATAATAAACTGGGCTTTTCTGTTGAAATTCATTGTAATTCTGATGCTGTTTGAAGTTTATCACACTGACTTCATTGTGTCCATTATGAAAGTATAAATTCTGAGAAAGGTTTATATTACTCAGGCTTAATAGTAAAATAACTAAATGTGCCAACAGGGTGCTTAAAATTTATCCATCGCTAAATTTAATTCATTATATTTAGTTACAATTAGTTCAGCTAATGGCATGACAAAGAGCTAACATTACAAAAAGAAGAATAAAAAAAGCTCTTGTGAGCTCAACTGGCCTAAGAGCCTGAGCTTAAGTCAGTTTATTAGCACATTTCCTGAGTGCTGTGCTGGACATTGCTCTAGGGGTATGTCAGTAACAACCAATGCTAATGTAGCCTGCAGGGAGTTTGCATTTTAGTAGTGACTGATTAGCAATAAAATCGAACAAACTACAGCAGTTATATACAAGTGACCTGGGAAACAGTAAAACACCCTGTCACTCCTTTCTCCAAACTGCCAAGAGAGCATTCTTAGCAGTTGAACATATTTCCTTGTTCATACATTTTAATTTTGCATATTTTTTAGATAAAGTAAAATTAATTTTCTTATCAACCCCTCATATAAATACATCATTGCCCTTGAGCATTTTGCCTTAAACTTTTATATAAGAATTCGAAGTTTGCACCGTGGTTTTTATGTAGGCTAAAATTTAGGTTATAAATGGTTTATTTATTTTATCTTAAGGTTTTAAGTAGCAAATCTACACAATCCTTACATAATGAGACATTCAGAGAATTTAATGAAATCACACTACAAAATTTATTTTAACAGTAAATTCTTTGCATTTTTACATTATTCTACATTATTTGCACATATGTAAATATTTATCATATGCAAGTATAAATATTTATTATACATGTATGTGATAATTTGTAAATATATATGTAATTGAATATATATATATATATTGTATATATAATTTTTACAGTTTATTTAAGCCTTTTAATCTCTTTCTTGATAAGGCAGGTATTAATCGTTTATTGTTAGAACACTTTAGCAGGAACCTTTGCTCTATCTCCAGTTGAATGAAGGGAGCTGAGTTACAGGTCTGGACTTATGAATGGATCTTTATAGGCTTGGGGGGTGATAATAGCTGGAGACAAATACTTCACCTCAGTAGTAGAAAATTTTTCTATTTGACTGTCAAAGTGCTTTTTATATGAAGTCCCTGTCTTAGTATTCTGCTTCAAGACATAGCAAAATAAATTGTTAGTTAATGATATGTAATGGGATATGATTCAATAAAAAGTGCAGAAAAATTAGTGAAAATCTAATAAATGAAAACCCATTTCCATAGAAAAATATAATTTGTTCCAATAACAGTTTATAAGTAGTTTATTTGCTCATTATATCAGTCTTAGTATCATGTTTGAGAAAAAATTGCAAATACATAGTTGATAACAATTTAAAATATACTGAATCATTAAGAAATGGTTAGGTTCTGCTTTTTTAAAAAAATACATGAATAATAAAGGCTACAAAACCACAGCTAACAGAAAGCTTTTTTAGCTGTGGAGTAAATATAAATTTTGAGGTGTGCGTGTATGTGGTACTAGGGTTTAAACCTCAGGGTGCTTAACCACTGAGTAATATTCTCAGTCCCCCATTGTTTTATTTATTTATTTGTTTGTTTATTTATTTATTTAAATTTGAGACAGGGTTTCACTAAGTTGCTTAGAACTTCACTAAGTTGCTGAGGCTACCATTGAACTTGGAACCCTCCTGTCTCAGCCTCCCAAGCCTCCAGGATTATAGGCATGCAGCATCATGATATACACAATGGAATATTACTCAGCATTGATAAAAGAATAAAATTATAGTATTTTCAAGTAAATGGAAGGAACTAGAGAATATTGTGTGAAGTGAAATAAGCCAATCCCAGAAAAACACAGACTGAATGTTTTCTCTGATAAGTGGATGCTTATCCAAAATTGGGGGGTAGTAGAGGTAGAATAAAGGAATTTGAATTGTGCAGAGGGGAGTGAGTGGATAGGAGGGGCTGTGGGAATGGTAAGGATGGTAGAATGAGACATAAATTATTACCCTATATACATGTATGATTATACTACTGGAGTGACTCTGAACCAAATGAATGGAAAGTTGTGCTCCATTTGTATACCATGTGTCAAAATGCATTCTACTGTCATGTATAACTAATTAGAATAAATTATAAAAATTTTAAATTAAATCTTCAAATTT